TTAATGTTAAGTTCATTTGTAGATCGAATTCTTTTCTCTCCCCATAGCTTTCTCATAGCACACTCAAATAAAACACCATCCCTCAATACTGTAGATCCTGTTTTAACTTCATTGTCAATACTAATTTTATCCCCAATATAGACTTTTTTTGCAAATGAACTCATTTTAGTTTTATTAAATTGAACTTCAGCACCCATAAGAATAGCAAATAATAATGTGTCTGCATTACATTCAGCTCGAACATTTCTACTAGCTCGTTGTTTTTGAGCTTCAACCGATGTTGTTTTCATTTGTATTGTATTTTTCCTTATTTGAACTTAAATAGGCAGCACAGCATTTTGCCTATCAAATCTAAAGGAAAAGCCATACAAAACTTGACTACATTTTATTTTTTTGATTATTTTCTTTAAGTCGTCTTTTTTCAACCTTCGATTCTAATTCCATTTTGACTTTCAAATGCTTATCAGTCCTTTCTTTCCTAATTCTTCGGGATTATCCTCTTAATTAATCACTTTCTTAAAAATGACAAATTTCTCATTGCCTATTGACCCTTATATTCCATCCAAACTAGATTCAAAAGAATCTGCCTGTCTAATACTGAAAAAAAATCTCATTCTTAATGAGAAATTCTTTTTCTTCTTATCCATCAAATAACAAAATTTAATAACAATTTAATAATAATAATAAATTAATATTCAACATGAAAATCAAAGTTCCATTTGATTTGTGAGGAAAATATGGCAGGAAAGTGCCTATCCTGAAGAATCGTTTCAATTTATTGTAGAAGAGAAAAGACATAACAAAAATGATTTATTCAAATTTAAATCACACAAAACACGAAAAACACAAATTTGTTTTGAAAATTCATTTATTTTAGAAAAGTTAAATCTAGAAAAAAACCTATTAACTTTAAGAATTAAATGGAGGGAAGCATCACTTCTAGTAGTAGTACTACTTCAATTGGATTACCAGTGGTTGTTGAAGTTTGTTTAAAAAAAAAGTATATTAAAATAAAGAAAAGAATAAATAATTTATCGTAATAGTCTATTATTTCAACGACATGCCTTTTTTCATCAATATTTATTTACTTTTTTGAACAAGCAAATGTTTATTGTAGAGCCTTAGCACTTCAAAATGTCTTTGTTTTTTATATTCTCTTTACTATATTTATATTAATTCTTACTTCAACTCTTACTTGGGGAGGAATTTGGGAATTTATCATGTTTGCTTATTTGATTCTTTGCCTTATTATTAAGTTAGTTATGATAGCTTCAGCAATAATCTTCTCTAAATCCGAAAAATTCCTTGGTATTCCACCAATATCTACTTTTATTTTAAACAAAGCAAGTGCTATCTAATTCAATTAATCTATTAATTTCTCTTCTTCTTTCTTTTCATATGAGACATTATCAGATTTTAATCAATTCCTGTTACTTTTAAGATTGGATTTCTTTCTTATTTTATTTAGGTTGTAACGCACTTTTTGTTTCAAATTTTTGTCTATAACAAAAAAATTTTAATTAATACTAGAAACAAACATATCTATGTTATTTTTAAATTTACTTCTGTTTTTCTCAATTACCCCATTACTTCATCAATATTAAAATACACTTCACTTCAAAATGTATAACCTTTTATTGGTTTATTTCTTTTTAGATTAATTCTATTCTCACAAATTACGATTGTATTTTAAGATGAAACTTTATAAATAGATGGTACTATTTATTTTTATAACACGAAAAGGGGATTATAGAACTCTTTGGTTAAAGAACTTAAAATGCTAGAAAAGTTTTGAGAAGACAAGAAAGATGAGATCGTCTTCACAAATTACAAAACAGTCTCAAGAACAATTTCTACAAAATGCAAAGAAAAATCAAGCACTTGTTGAAGAAATCAGGACTAATGAAAAAGAATTATTCAAAAGAAGTAAAAAATGGGTTCAGAATATAGCTGGTTTGTGAGTTTTCTTTGACTCATTTAACTTAGTTTTTTAAAAAGAAATGAAGCAACATTATCAGTTAATAATTGAGTAGTTGCTGCGCACACTGGAATTTCAGTCTCAGAAACATTAAAGTCATATTCCTCTAAATTTGAAAAGAGTGATATTAGTAATATCCAAAGGGTATGTGTTGCACTTGGGCAATGTGGGGAAATTGTTGATAATTTTGTTAGGGTATTAGATCGACTTCAATTAGACCTTGACAAGTATTTATGTGAGTCACTTCGTTCGTTAATTGATGGTGAATTAGCAATGGTAACAAATGGACCAAAATTAGATTCTATAAGAACAACAGGAAGTTCAACTAGTCCCAAATTATCACAAGCAGTAGCAAATATACAAATGGCAATCGATAAATTTGAGATAGAGTCACTTTCTCGTTTTTGTAATGTTTTTGACTCATTTGATAATCTTAAAGAAGGAATGATAAGTGTAAATATATTAAGGGAAAAGGCAAAAGTTGCAAAAAAACAACAAGAACAATTACAAGCAGCATATGAAGAAACTGAAAAAATAGACTCTACTACTTATAGAAATTATTTTGGAATTCCATTAAAAAAATTACTTGAAGATGAAGGTAGAGTTGATGCACAAATTCCTTTAGGACTTGAAAAAGCATTAAAATATTTATTCTTAAATGGGCTTAATAAAGAAGGTCTTTTTAGACTAAGTTCAACTCCTGATAAACTTAATTTTGCTAAAATGAAATTTTTAGCAACGAATTATTCTCATGAAGATCCTTATTTAGTTGCCAATTTAGTCAAATTATTTATTAAAGAAATTCCTGGTAATTTAATTCCAAAAAATGCTATTGCCGTTTTTCAGAAATGGGATAATGAAATAGTTGCTGGTATTAACACAGAAACAAGAGAAATAGATCCTGTATTAGAAAAGAAAATTGCTCTACAAATTCATTCTGATATAGCATTAACACTACCACCAGAACATCTCACTTGTCTTAAATACTTAGTTTCGTTTTGCTCTCATTTAGTGAAAAGTGAGAAGTCAAAGATGACCATTGAGGCTATATCAACTTGTGTTGCACCTAACGTATTTTATTCAGATCCCAAATTAGAAGGACCAACTTTGTTAAATTATAGCAAACAGATTAATAGACTATTTTCATTTATCTTAAGAAATATATTAACAATATTCCCCTCTTCTAAAAGGTGTTTCAGTGCAAGAAAGAAGAGCGTTTTTATGCACAATCCAGAAGAAATTGAAATGAATGATGGTCTTGTGTCTGTTTCTCCAATGTTTTCAGAACGTTCTTCACCAAAATTAATCATTTCAAATCAAATAGATCAAAATGGAAAAATAATTACTCAAACTGATCAACACTCAACCCTTGTCTCTCCTTGTAATTCCAAAGTTATTTCTTTACTCCAGTCTTCAAGATTAAGCATGAAGTAATTGTAGATTTTACTTTTCTTTTTAGTGTTTTTTAACAAAGTCTGTCTTTTCTTGAAAGAAATTTTATAACAAAAATATCGTAACGGTTTAAGTCAAGAAGAGTTTATGTGTTGAATAAGTGTAAATATTGAAAATAATTGAGAATAATAATTCATTAAATAATTATTTATTCACTTTTATTTCTGTTAGTTAAAATGAAAAAAATTAAAAATGAGTAGAAAAATAAAATAAAAAAAAATTAAGAAGATATAAATAACAATATTGAAGAAACAAAAAAAAAACAAAAATAATTATTTCTTGAAAAATTATCAAAAATTTAAAGAAAATAATAGAATGAGAAATAGAATTATAGAATTTTTGCAATATTATATAATATTAACTTGAATGATTTGATTTTTTTTTCTTTAAATAAATATCTTTTGACAACTTTTGATTATTGTTATAATAAGACACAATAATTATCATAAGAATTGATAAAAATTTATTAACTATCTCATTATTAAATATTCATTATGATTTATTATATTTCCATTATTCTTGAAAATATTCACAAATTTTAATTTGAAAAAATCATGAATTACTAAATAAATAGTAAATGAAACAAATGATTATTTTGTTCAATGTTATCTATTGATGAGAAACACTCTTCATCAAACAACAATATCACATGAAGATTAAACAATAATATTATAAACCCATTAATTGTCAATAGAAATAAAATAAATTAAGAATTAAAACAATAGTTATGCACTGTAAATACAATTAAATTGTGAATATATTTTTAATGGAGTAAAAGAAAACACACAAATTATTAATAATTAATCTATCACTTAAAATAATAACAATACCAATACCCCGATAGCCATGATAAAAATAGATAAACTTCCATTAGTATTATTACTACTCCAACACTGACCTGCATCAGGAGCATTTTCATCTTTAACCAAAGTGATATCATCAAAATAAAAAGTATGTGGGAGACTTCCATAGTTTTGACCCCAGAATCCCCAGAATTCATTATTGGTAACATTTAAGTCTTTAAGAGATATTTTAAAGTAAGTCCATTCATTTGCTGATTTAGTAGATAACCTCATTCCATTTTCTTGTGTTTTAAAGGCTTTGAATAAGAAACAATTATTGCATTCAAAATCTGTTTTCATCTGGAATTGGATTGCAGAATATTGATCAGCACGTGCAGGATTGAGTAACCCTAATTGTAAACATCCCCATTTCTCAAAAACAGCCTTTACACAATAACTTCCAGTCTTAGGATTTGTAGTACATTGAAAATCAACTTCAACATTTGGAGACCAATTATTATAAGCTCCAACAAGTTGTTTTTCTTCATAGATTATAGAAAAATCATCCCAAAGAGTACAACACTCTACAGCATCATCTGGTTTAGGTTTTTTAGTTAATGTATTAAAATCAAAATAAACATCTTTAGGAATAATAAAATTGCCATCAGCTTCTGTAACTTTATTACTCTCATCTGAAGTAACAGTTGCTTTAACATAATCATCATTAATAGAATAAATTTTATAAGTAATTGGAAATTCAATAGCTTTTCCTTCAATTTTAAATGGCCAAGTATTATAATCAGTTCTATTCAAAGCGATGAAGTCATTCATTGTTGAATCTTTAATTTCTACTGACTTAATACCTAATGTGTGTTCATAAATGACAACTGAATACCACCATTTACTTGACCCATTCATAGATTTTAATTTTATATTTCCAGTATAGTCACATGCAACCATTCTTACTGTAACATTTGGTGTTCCACCATATGTTTCTACATAAGGATAAGCATTCCCAGACAAATCGAAATGATACATATCACCACTACAACATTTTTCATTTCCTGTAACTGGACATCTACTATCAACTCTAAATCTTAATGTTCCTGATGGACCAACCATTTCATAGCAAATTCCACACTTCTTTGCTTCATCATAAAATGCCTCATTTGGAGCAGCTCCAAACATATATCCAGGAACGATAGTTGTTGGTTGAGGACCATATGAACAAGACCCTCCACTTGCCCATTGATCATAATAAGTAATTCTTCCTTTTGTACATTCTGATAATGGTGTTAGTTCTGCAGTTTGATGTGCAGAACAACTAAAAACTAAGAGCAATAAAACCCCAAATTTCATTTTGTAATTAAAAAAGGGAAATGAGTTATTTGTAGTTCTATTTGTTGTAATACTCTGAATAAAAAAAGAATAAAATTAAAAAAAAAAAAATAAATAAACTCCATTACAAAACATTGAAATTAAAAATTACCATCAAAATCATCAGGACAATGGAAAGAGAATTTAAAAGTACCAGTTTCTATTATTGAACCATTATGTAATTCAGTTACAGTGTCTTTATTTTTAAATACAGTATCTATTTTTAATCCATTTCTTCCTTTTAAAAGACATTTCCAACGTTTTGTTCCAACATCATATTGAACAATAGCATGAGTATGTGAAATACTTTTAGCTTCCATATATGCTGATAAATCAAGATCAACATTATTTTCTCTACCTTTTCTTCCAATAATTATTGTTGGCTTAGTAAGTTCCATCATCTTTGTTTTAGTTTCTTCATTTTCAAAATATGGATAATTGATTCTAACACGAGTTTCTTGTCTTGTTGAAATAGGTGGAAGAGAAACAGCTGCATTAGAAGCAGTACTAATTGGAGGTAATATGAATTGTGATCCATTCTCTTGTTTAAATGGTTTTTTTGCAAGAACTTTTTCAGGGACATAATCTGGTTGGAGTCGTTTTCTTGCATCATTTGGATTTTCTGTTGCAAATTTAGTTGCATCTTTAACAACTTTTTCTGCCTCTTTTATTCCTTCTTTCTTTAATGCATTTAACATTTCAATATTATTAGCATCAAGTTTTGAATAAATTTGCATTAATCGTTGCCATGCCAAAAATTGAATAAAGGATTGTGGGAAAAGAGACATATCAAACATTTGTTGAGTTGGAGCGTTACATGCGTTACAAAGTAAATCACTAGTTACTGATAAACCAGCTGGAACAGACCCCATAGCCATTTCAAGTTCTTGTCTTCTTAGACTTAAATATTTACTAAACAAATTACGAGTATCTTCTGGAATAGAAGACATAGAAGGTACATAATTAAAATTAATTTTTTTGTCAAGCATTGAAGCATATAATAAAACAGATGCTTCATCAATAACACCTTTTTCATTTTGAACGTAATGCTCAAGATATTCTCTTCGATTTTCTCTCCAATGATGTAAACAAATATAGTTTGATTGACATTTTGGATTTAATTTAAGAACTATTGGGAAATTACCAACTCTATTATTAATAATAGGTAAATAACACACATTAGTTTCATAAGGTTCTCCTTCACAGAACCTACAAAACTTATATTCTCCAAGGATTTTTTCATCTTTATTTGGAACACATTTTGGGTCTCCAAGTGTTTTTGGTAATTCTTCATGTTTGGTTTCTTCTTTTTTAACTTCATCTACTTGTTTTTCTTCTGTTTTTTTTTCATCTACTTGTTTTTCACCTTGTAAAGTATTTATTTCATTTTTCTTTTCATTTATTTCAATCTTTTTTTCTTCTTCGGTTGGCTTTTCAATAGGATTATTATTACTACTAACATTAACTATTTGAGACTTTTCTTCTGTAACTTTATTTTCAACTTCTATAGATTTGTTTATTTCTTCAGTTGTTTTTACAATTTCATGTTTTGGTTCTTGATTTTTGATTGTTTCTATTTGTTGAATCTTTTTCGCTTCTTCTAAAACTGTTGGCTGGATATTAGGTTGTTCTGGTTTCTTTTGAACATCGTTTATTGGGTGTGTTTCAAGAGTATTTTCACTCTTAATTATAGGAATACCATTTTGTGTTGGAGTTGTTTCGTTTGTAGAAACAAGATTGTTTGTAGTTGAGACTTCATTTGGTTTCGTTTCTGTAGGTGGTACTTCAGCCATAATAATTCTTTCAGTTCCAGTTCTTGCTTTAAATACGCTCTATTTATATTTTTTGAACCAAACTTCTCAACCCTAAAATTTGATTCAAAACGGCATTTCTTATTTTTTAGATCAAAGATTGCATTTGGTGAGATTTTTTCTGTCTTTTTTCTCTTTTTAAATCTTATTTTAATTTTAAGTTCAAAAGAAAACATCAAAGTATAAATCAATTTTCTGTTACTATATGGATAGTTCTGTCAATAATTCATCTTAAAAAGGTATTTAAGTTCTATAATAACTTAATAGTAAATAATAGTAAAGTGTAATAACAGAAAGAAATATGAAGAAAACAAGTGACTTCTCAAAAAAAAAGGAATCAACTGAAAAAAATCAAATCTTATGGAAAACGAATTTAAAGTAGTTTTGTTGGGGGAAGGAAAAGTTGGAAAGACATCGATGATATTAAGATATACCCAAAATTTTTTTACTCCTGAAGAAGGTCCTCGTACTACACAAGCTTCATACGTATCAAAAACATTAAATATTGATAAAAATGATTATATTATTAATATTTGGGATACTGCAGGACAAGAAAAATACCAAGCATTAACACCAATTTATTACAGGGATTCACAAGGAGCAATTTGTTTGTTATATTTTTTATTATAAGAAAAAAGATTATTTTATTACATATTTATAACGTTAGTGGTTTATGACATTACTGAACCAAGAAGTTTCCAACGAGTACAAACAGAAGTTGATAATATTAGAGATATGTTAGGAGATAGTTGTTGTATTGTTATTGTTGGAAATAAAATGGACTTAGTTCAACAACGTAAAATTTCAAAAGAAGAAGCTGATAAATATGCTGAGTCAGTAAAGGCTATTCATTATTTATGTTCATGTGCAACTGGTGATGGTATATCTGATGTATTTGAGGGTTTAACTAAACAAATGGTTGACAAGAGAAAATCTTTAGGAGATGATGAGTTATTTGATCGTAAAAAGTCAACCCTTGTATTTCAAGATGATAAAAACAACACTCGTCAAGCAAAATCTGATTGTTGTTAATTAACTTTTCTTTTATTTTTTAAGTGTTATAGAAAATATAATATATATTATATTAACATATCTTATTTTAAGCTTTAATTGTTTTAAGAAAGTTTTTAGGATGACATCAATACTTAATTTCTTAATATAAATAAGTTTTATTTTATGGTTAATTGTTTGAATTGTGTCATAATGATAATGTTATATTAATATAACTTAATTTTTCAGTTGGTAGAATTGATGAATGTTATAATTTTAATATAATTTTGTGTTAAGTTTTCTAACAAATTTTTATTATTGTTTTATCTTAAAATTCAAATGCAAATCCCTCTACAAAGTTGTATTGAACCAAGTGATTTTAAAAAACATAATTTATGTGTTCCTCAACATGAATTAGTTAAATGTACTCTTATTGGAGTTCAGTGTGTTGTATGTAGTTTTCCAGTTGCAGGAGAAGCTTTTAAATGTCGTATTTGTGGAGTTAAAATTCATCCATCTTGTAAAGATAATTTTGTTATTCCATGTCATAGAGAAGATAAAGCATTTGTTACAAGTGGATTAATTAACCATTTTCATCATTTAGAAATTACTACTTTTTCATCTCCAACTTATTGTCAAATATGTGATGAACTTCTTGTTGGATTTGTTCAACAAGGATATAGATGTAGTTTATGTGGAATGACTTGTCATAGTAAATGTCTCAAATATGTAAATGCTAATTGTAAACCATATAAAGGAGAAACAGGGTTTTCACACTGTTTTTGTAAAGGTGTTTCTGTTGGTGTAAAATGTCATATCTGTTCATCTCCATTATTAGGAGGATGTACAGGTGGATTAAAATGTAGTTGGTGTGGATTAGTTTGTCACCAATGTTGTGTAAGAAAAGCACCAATACAATGTAGTTATGGGGTATTATCACATATAATTATTCCACCAGATTATGTTGATGAAAATGATAGAATGAAGTTAATAGAAAATTATGTTCCTAAAGTAATTGCTGTTAATAGCAAGTCAGGAGGTCAAACTGGAAAAAATGTTATTCAATATTGTCTACGACTTCTTAATCCACTCCAAGTATTTGATATTCTTAATGGTTGGGATGTTCTTTTTAATTTTGTAGAAAAATATCATGATAACTTTACATTAATTATTGCAGGAGGAGATGGTACAATGGGTTGGGCTATGAATGAATGTAAGAAACATGGTGTCTCTCCACAATTAGTTCCACTTCCATTAGGAACAGGAAATGATTTATCAAATGCATTTGGATGGGGAAATACATTTGATGGAGCTATGGAAACAGTAAAAAATTTACTTATTAAAATTGATAATTGTGCAGAAGTAAGACTTGATAGATGGAAAGTAATTCCTGAATCAGGAGAGAATGAAATTATATTTAATAACTATTTTTCATTTGGATTAGATGCTGATATTGTTGCAGATTTTCATGCCCAAAGACAAGCAAATCCAAAAAAATTTGATAATGCACTTAAAAATAAAATGAATTATGGATTATCTTATTTAAATGCAATTAAACAATCTACACCTTTAAGCGAATTATTAACATTTAATGTTAATGGAACATCACTTGATGTAAGTTCATTAATAGGTATTTGTTTTCTTAATATTCCATTATATGGTGGAGGAGCTCATCCTTGGGGAGAGACTTCAGAACTTGATAGGATTAAAGGATGGAAATCTCCAAGTCCTGGTGACAAATTACTTGAGGTATTCGGATTTCATGATCCAATTCATGTTATTAAGACATTAGCAGGTATTGTTCCAGGAACTAAAATAACCCAATTAAATTCAATTACATTTAATGTTGAGTCTGATAATATTAATTGTCAGTGTGATGGAGAGCCAGTACGTTTAGAGCGTGGAAGGTATGAGATTCAATTTGACTTACAAGTCCGATTCTTACGTAAATTTAATTAAATTTTTTTCTTTTAATTAGAATATCTTAAAGTATCTAATCTAAAAATAAATTGAAATAAAGTATGAGTTTAATTCAAAGTTAAATAGCAATTCAGTTGGAGTTTAAAAGATATTAAAATAAAATTTAATTTATAATCTATTTCATTATAATCATTTAAAAAAATTGTAAGTAATTTATTTGTTATGATAAAAATTAAACAAAAGTATAATGTTTATTAGAATTAATTCATACATATCTCTTGATAAATGAGAATAATCTCTCTTTCATAATTCTTTAATGAGTTATCTAGTAATGGAAGGTTACTGTTGAATTTATTAGAAATCTACAAAATATTGATAATAAAGAAATAACAGTATCGATGATTAAATGATTTATCTTTGAAGAAAGTTTAGTGATGATAATAAATGAATAAACAAAGCACCCTATTGTATATTTCTTTTTTTTTTCAAGTAAAAATTCAAGTCATATTAGTGTTATAATTGATTGAAATTTAACTTTATGAATAGTTTATAGAATATTAATGAGAAGAAATCTATGAAGAGTTTTGTATAACAAAAGACTTTTTGTCATATCAACAGTATTTGTTTCAGTGTCATGACTAGAAATATAAATTCAATTATTATTCGAAAGAATTAATGAAATAAATTTAATATAGGAAGAAATATAAATGCCATATTTTAGATTTTAAACAAATATATTATAGAATGAGTGTCTTCTTTAATAATACATTTTATAATAAGAATTGTTTTCAACCAAATATTTGTAATAGATATGTTATAAAAAAATATTTTACAAGTATTGAGTTTTTCTTAATAATGTAAAATAACATATAACATAACCAATTAGTACAGTTTCTAACATAAACAATGCGATGAAACCAATCTTAGTAAATTTAATTTGTTAATTGAATATTATATAATACTTTGAATTTTAAGAATTTAATGAATAATCATTTTCAATATTTATTTCCAACAGTTATTGTTTTCATTAACTGATTTTTATTTTTATTTATTATTTAATTGGTTATAGAATTATTAATATTTTTCTTTTCTGCTTCAAATTCATTTTTTTCTTTGTTTTTGATTTGTATTTTCTTTTTAAACCAAACAAAAGAGAAATTAAACAACATACTTAAAAAAGCTTTGATTATTGTTCATAAAACAAAAAGAAAAATAAGTTTTTTACTCTTTTTTGTATGAACATAATAACGTTTCTCTTGTTTATTTATAAACAAAATTCTCAAAAATAACAACATTAGAAAAACAAAAAATAATCTTTTCAATTATGCTGTTGTTTCCCAAATGTTTCTACAAATTGCAGCAGATCTTCTTACTAACCGTTTATTGTCATCTAATGGAACTAATAACTTCTTTATTACATTCTTTTGATATGGTCTTATTGCATCAATACCATACACAACACGAATACGAGTTAATAAGTCAATAATATCACATCGATATTTAATTGTTGTACCATTAATATAAAGAACATTAAAAAGTTTTGTTATGATTGAGTCAAGTTCACTTTCTATTAATGACATTGGATATTGAGATACAGTTGGTAAAATATTAAATAATAAAACTACAACACTATCTATCTCATTTAAATGACTTGTTGGAACACAAATAATGTTAAATATCTTTAGAACAGTACTTTCATATGTTAACAGTTTTTCTGTTGGAAGTAAGGAGAAAAGAAGAATCATTATATGAGATTCTTCTACAGTAGTGACTTGATGTGATTCAATAAACCGTTCATAAACTAGATTGAATAATTCCTCTTTCCAATGTAATTCATTTTTCTTATTAATACTATCAAACACAATCATTTCTTTTAAACATTCAATAGCCTTATTATTCATTCGACATAACTCTTCAATAAATATTGGTGTAGCTTGTTTATTTGATTCATGAGAATCTAATTCTTGAATAGTTTTATATCCATTAAAATATTCCTTATTTTGTTCAAGTACATGAGGTATAATATTTGTTAATTTACTAATAAGTAATGAATATATAGCAATAGTGTCTTTGTCTACTTCTTGTACTTCATTCAAATAAACTATTAAGTTTTCTGGTTGATAAAACTGAAGTAAAGAAGGGAGTATTAATAAGAGTCTTGAATGTTCTTTGAGTTGACTTAATACACCCTCAGTTAGTTCTGAGATTTTCTTAGAGCTAAGAATTGAATGAAGACGACTAAGTCTATTCATTAAAGTGTTGAATAATGGTGATAAGACTCCATTAGTAATAACAATAAATACTGGAATACAATGGTTAACGTATACATCTAAACAATTGAATGGAAGAGCATCTGATAATATAGATTGAAAAACTGGAACATATTCATTACTTTGTAATGTTGGAATTAACTTCAACAATTGTTCAAATAATTTAGGACTATGAAGTGCAATACCACTAACAAGTTCAAGGTTTGTAATAATTTTATTTGCTGGTAATAATGAAATCATAACATCTTCTTCTTTTTCATATAATCTTTGTAAGATTGGAATAGCATCATGACATTTATTTTCACTTAACTCAATTGCATTTTGAAATGGAACCATTCGTTGTTCACCAAGAAGATTTAATAAAGCTAATGACACATCTATATCTAAAAGACTAACAAAACATGGATGTAATGGTGTTGCTAATCTATGAAGATCCCAAGCAACTTGTCCTTTAACACAATCTAATAATGGCATTCCTTCAATAATACGTTGATAAATTAAACGAACAATAAAAAGCTCTCTTTCAAATTGTTCTTTAGGACGGTCATCAGCATCTTGCAATTGATCATGGAAACATTGAATGAAAACAGGAACAAATACTTTAAAGAATTTTTCTGATTTCTTTGTAAGTTCTTCTAATAGTCCATTTACAAAATTAATAATAATTTCATCTGTCTCTGACATCATTCTCAAACAAAACATTTTAATACTTTCCATTAAATTTTTAGAATGAAAATCATCTAATGAACAAAAATATGATGCAATTGCAAATGCAAATTCATTAACTTCTACAACACCAACAGTAGAAATATTTTGTTCTATTGATTCCCAAATATGAGTGAAATATGCATAAACATATTTTAATTCAAATCTTTGAATACAAAAATAAATAGCTTTTAATGCTTCTAATTTAATACTTGATAAATCAGCATCCAGTTTATCTAATAAAAATGGTAATGCAAATTGAGCATAAATTGGAGCTGAAACAAATGCATCTAATATTTTATTTGTTAAGTCTATTCTTAATGCTTCATCACCTTTTGGTGGATATAAAATAGGGAAATAAGCTGATGCACAATCAAATAATAATGGTGCTGAATCTGCATCAATTTCATTTTTTTGAGAAACTAATTTAATAAGATCAAATACTTCTTTAAGACATTCAGGATCACGTTCTAATTCTATTAATTGAACACAGGTATCTATTACTTCTGTTGCTTGGTAATAATTAATAAAGACTTTATAGAATTGATATACTAATATTCTTACTTCTTTTGTATATAATTGAGTTCTCATACATGAATATGCCATTGCAATTTCATTAATAATTTCATCAGATGGTTTCTTAGTTACTAATTGAAGTAATGCTGTAAGAATGGGTTCTAAACACACTGCATCAACTAAACGACTAGCTAAATAATCAACAAACACATCTTTTGATTCTTCTTTTATTGGGTATTTAATTAGACAATATGTTAATAATGATGTAGCTCTGAACCTTATTCTTTCATCTTCACTTGGTAAAGTATCACCTAAGTCAGTAACAAGAGAATTGACGTTATAGTTATTTTTCATTAATTGGTCTATTATTTCATATCCTTCTTTAATAACCTTTGGACTTTCTATAAACTCATTTAATTGTTGTGCGGGTGTACTCATGATTAGTGTTTGGGTATTTAAAGTTTATTTCTATTGAAGTTTTTTGGTTATAAATATGAATCACCTAAATTGAAAAATGTTATGTTTTTTTTTTTAATTTTTTTTAAAAGGGTTATTAAAAACAAAAAATTCGACTTTCAATTATTTGTTACTTGTATTTGTTTTGATTAACTAATTACTGAACGATGTTTTTCTCTAACTTCTCCTTAATGAGTTAAAAAAAGTAGTAGAAACATTTTTAAATATTCAATAATCAATTTATTATACTAATAATAAGTATCAATATTATTTAGGAAGTATTAAAAATGAAATATTTAAAATAAAAGAGAATGAAACATATGAACATGGTACTAAAAGACGAGAAGGAATATTTGATAGGATTGATGAAGTAGTTAGAAGAATAAATTAATAAAATTCAAACAAAATTTAATAAGAAGAAAGAAGAATGAAAAATATATTAGAATGAATATTTAGAAAGAAAGAAGCAGAGAGATTAAGAAGAATGTTACAAATGGAAGAATTGACAGGAAAAAAACAACGAATAGATTATTTAATTCAAATAATGATAATTAGAAAGGGAAATACGTCATTATTTACTTAAAAAAAATAAAAATAATTATTATTGAAGAAGAAGAAGGAAATAAAATTGGAGGATATGTTAATTCTAAAATTGATAAAGCTAATAGTTATTATATAAATGAATCAAAATCATTGTTATTTTCATAAGAATCAAAATGAAGAATCAAAAGAATGATGAAATTTGATTGATATTAAAAAAAAACACAATATGCATTTAAATTATTTAATCAATCGATTATTTGTTTAAATTTGGATAGTTTAGTTTGGAAATAATATTATTGTTAATAAAGAGAATACTAAAACAAAATCCTAAGAAACAATTATTTGAAAATATTATTAAAAGAATGATTGTCAAGGATTATTAAATCCTAAAGTATTAATACCTTTTCCTTTTTTTTTATTTGTTACTTTTTCAATACTTCAAGAAGTGAATTGTTGAATTTCTAATAATGGAATATTTTTCCGTAAAAAATGGGGGTAAGTAATAGGAAACAAAAGTTTACTACAAATAACTAATTGAAAAAGAATTAAAATATCTCAAATAAGAAAAGTTAATCATCTTTCAATTAATAATTCAGTTCATCTTAAATGAATTTAATAAACATCATTGTTAAGAATTATTTTTCTTACTAACTTTATTTTCAACATATTTATTTAAAAACTCTAAACAATTAGTCTTGTAATTGTGTTTATTAAAAAACGATAACTTTATCTAATTGTTTTTTGCTATTACTAAAAAAAGAAAATGAACTATTAACTTAATATTTAGATTTGATTATTAAATAATAAATAGTATTTATAATTCCAAAATCAATTTTTAGGTTTTCTTTTATTCATGAACATTTTAACTTTAGACTTTTATTCTAAATTGAAAAAAATATGAAAAAAAAAAGAACTTCTAGTTGAACATAATGTTCTCTTTTCCAAAAGATCTCAACGATGTTCCTTTGAGCTATCATTTACAAATTCACAACCAAAATTATTCATCTAAATCATTTCATCAACAAGAATTTGTCATTAAACCAACATATCAAATACGTAAAGAAGAAGATTTAAAAATAAAAGAGTGTCAAAAAGAAGATCACACTGAACCTACTTATCACTTTTTTAAAGAATTAGATTTACAAAAACAATATGAACGGATAGTTCAATTATTAGATCCAAAAGAAGATAACCATTTATCTCAATTAGAAGTCAAAGAAAAAACTAAAAATTACTCTGAAACAGAAATTAAATCAGATCAAACAGAAGATAAAAAAGAAATAAAACATCAAAAAATTGAAGAAGTAAAATCTCCAGAAAGAGTAGGAAAGAAAGAACGAAGAGTAAAAACAAAAGAAAGTAAAATCAATATGAATTATTCAACAAGAAAAGACATAAAAAATAATCGAAATATCAAACGAGATGAAAAGAAAAAAGAAGATAAAGAGAATGAAAAACATTTTGAAACGATTGCAAAAGAGTTAAACATTAGTCATGTAGAAGAACTACCTAAAACTAACGAAATTATTATTGACAAAGAAAATGAAATAATAACAGAAATTAGTGAAACTACTGAATCTCACAAAATATCACCTTTTAAAGATTTAAACAAAACGATTATTAAGGGAATGGAAAAGAGTTCTTTTATAGGAGATGATAAAGACAAAGTTAACATAACAACCCACCAATCAGAAGAAAAAATTATTGAAATTATCAAAGAACACAATGACCAGTTGAAAGAAAGTCCAAGTAAATATAAAAGAAAAAATAATAAATCAAAAAAACCAATAAAGAAAAGAAATATTGAAGTTCCAAAAATTATTGATGAATCTCCTTTTAAAGGTTCTAGTAAAAATGTTTCTAATCACACTGACTTAAAACCTCCTATGACTAAAAAAACTAAAAAAAATGAAAAAACTGATTTATTAAGTCAACTTGAACAAACTTGGAAATCCGGAGTTGTGATGTTGATCATATTTATTGTTCTTTTTACTGCTTTGTCCATTTGGAATGATGTATTAAATGAAATGATGTATTAATTTTTAATTCATTTTTGAATTAATATTGTGATACATAACATTGTTAAAGTAAAAAAAACAAAAAAAAGATGAACCAAAAAATCAAATTAAATGGAACAATTAGTGAAAACAATTAATTCTCAGATCAATGCGTTAATGTCTGGTTCTTATAAATATGATTTTGACAATGTTATTAAAAGACTAAGAAAAAGTTTAATGAAATTTTATCCAACATATATTGTAGTTTATTATTACAGTATGTTGGTTTCAACGTTTGTTTTATTATTTTTAATTTGATGTATTATTTATTTAACCTT